CTGTTAGATCGTACATGTTTGCGTTTGTTACGTCTTCTTTGTTGTTGTTGCTGTTCCTTTTATCAGCTCATAAACTCTGTCTTTGTCTCCTGGGATCTTTGTGACCTCAAATCCTGTTCATCAGAATTTGAATTTGTACTCAGATTTCACCCAAATGTTTGTTTCTCTGTATCTTTTTATTCCCCGCCACACCTAAAATCTATGCAATCTATGCCACTGTTTTCTTTTTCTTTTTTGTAATCAAAGCAATAAGGGATCCTGGCTGGTGTGGCCCAGTGGATTGAGCACAAGCCTGTGAACCAAAGGATCACGGTTGGATTCCCAGTCACATGCCTGGGTTGCAGGCCAGTTCCCAGCAGGGGACACATGAGAGGCAACCATACACTGATATTTCTCTCCCTGTCTCCTTCCCTTCCCCTCTAAAGATAAAGAAATAAAATCTTTTTAAAAAGTGATAAGGGAATCACAGAACATCACATTTGTGCCACAAAATTAAGACTATCTGCTTTCTTGAGAAATTTCACACACACAAAAAAATCATGCTGGTTGATTAGCATCCGTTCCATTTTGTTACTCAGCAGCCCCTTTTCTGCTCTTGTTGTTTCCTTTCTGAAGTTCCCCTCGGGAATAGTCCCTAAATTCCTATTTCCTTAAATCTGTATCCCCCCGGAACAGGCGCATGTCAAATTCCCATCACCTGTGGGGGTTCCCTGTCACAGGGGAAAGACCTCGGCTGCGATGAAGTTAAAGACCTGAGAGAAGGGGCTAATCCTGGATCATCTGGGTGTCCCCGAATGCCACCAAGTGTCCTTATAAATGAGAGGCAGAGGGAGATCCCAGGCCGCCGCCCGGGAAGGTGGGGGCTGGGTGCAGCTGGAGGCAGAGACCGGAGTGACTCGGGCATGAGCCGTGTCCCCGGCGCCCTCCGCGGGAACGTGGGGCACTGTGATTACAGACGCCCGGCCTCTGGAACAGCGAGAACACTAATTTCTGCTATTTGAAGCCATCGAGGTTGAGGGCCCTAAACGCCCCGGGGCTGGAACAGGAAAATGAAGCTGGAAGGACTTCCAGCCTCGAGCGAGGGAGCAGCTCCCCGGGGCTCCCCTCACACCCGGGAGCGGCAGAGGCCAGCGGCCGTGCTGTGGGCCCCACAGCCCCTCGCTGGAGATCAGGTTGCTGGGGCCCGGCCAGTGTTGGCCTTGTCCTCCACGTCTCGGCAAAGCTGCTCGAAACTCTCTCTTCCCCTGGCAGGAAGAGCATATGTTCTTTCCATATAGAGGAGAAATTGTTCCGCAAGTGAGTAAGGCTCTTGGCTCGGGAGCCTGGCCCAGCCCAAAACACTCCGGGCAGGAAGTGGGCAGCGTTGGTGACCACTCTGGGAACCGGCCTGGACTGGCTCCTCGCCCTGGGGCCAGTGGCCAGCCTGCGGGTGGGGGGCAGTGGCGGGCAGGGGCCGGCGTGGGCCACTCAGGGTAGGGAGTCCTGTGCCTGAAGAGAAGCACGTTTCTCCGTGCGGGCTGGGCTGCTGGCCGAGGGCCTTGTTCAGAGCAGCAGACTGGCTGGAGTCAGAGGCTGACTCAGGTGTGCTCTCAGGGGCCGTTTTTATTTTTAGACGGTCATTTCCAGTCCCCCACCCCCTCCCACCATTTGCCTTGATGGCTTTAGAATTAGGTGGCCGCTGTGACCCCGTCCTGGTGCCTTAGTCCCTTCTGCCATGGCCACGTGACCGTACAGGTCTTCCCAAAGCCAGCCCTGGGCTGGGAGATGCTGCTCGTCCCTGTCTCGGTGCAGCCCTGGTGTTCGTCCCTCCTCATTTCCGTCTGTTAAGGATCCACTGAGGCCCTGGCTGGTGTGGCTCGGTGGACCGAGTGCCACCTGAGAACCAAAGGGTTGCGGGTTCAATTCCCAGTCAGGCACATGCCTGGGTTGTGGGCCAGGTCTCCAGTAGGGGGCGTGTGAGAGGCAACCACACATTGGTGTTTCTCTCCCTCTCTTTCTCCCTGCTTCCCCTCTTAAATATCTTTAAAAAAAAAAAAAAAAAAAGAAGAATCTACTGAGGGTGGGCCTTGGGGAAGTGGGGGGCAAGGAGGTGGGGAGAGTTGGTACAGCCTAGGGGAAAAGGGGGGCCTGGCGTAAGGGGGAAATGTTGAATAAATTTGGGATATTTAACCTGGAACCTTGGGGTGGAAATGAGAGTCGTGACAACTACCAGAAGACGGGTGACTGGTCACCATGTTGACAAGGGTATGGATGTGTCCTGGACGGGAGCGTCATTACGGGAGCGTCAGTGGGGCAAGCTGTACGTGTGTACATCAGGGACCCTGACCCTCTGAGGACAGGGTTTTTAAAAAAATATTTTACTTATTTATTTTTATAGAGGGGGAAGGGAAGGAGAAAGAGTGGGAGAGAAACATTAATGTGTGGTTGCCTCTCATGTATTCCCTACTGGGGACCTGGCCTGCAGCCCAGGCATGTGCCCTGACTGGGAATCAAACCAGAAACCCTTTGCCTCACAGGCTCATGCTCAATCCACTGAGCTACACCAGCCAGGGCTGAGGGCAGCTTTTGAGACAGTGAGTTAATTCCCTGCCGTTGGACGCATCCAGGCCAAGGGTGATGCCACACCCCCGGCTGAAAGGGGTCAGGTGCCAGGTGGGAGGTGGACTGGAGCTTCGGTCTCACCCTGGTGGCCCATGGGTCAGACGCAGCCCTGAAGATGTCCCCACTGGCCAGCATTTCTGCCGGCCACAGTCAGCTGGGTCTCAGCGCAGTCAGCTGCCCTGTGCGGCAGGGGCATGTCCTCACTCCCCACTCTGACGGCCCCTCGAGTATCGACGGCTGTGAGGCCTGGAGCAGAGGCTTTGGCCACACTCACCTTTCTAGCCTCCCTAGATTCAGCCTGCAGGGAAGAAGGTGGCACCTTCCCACGGGCTCAGACAAGACCACTGGAAGGACCTGGGGTCAGACAGAGCTCCCACCTGGCCAGAGACCACCACTGCACCTGCCTCCTCCCCCATCATGCAGGACAGCACGGTCATTCACCCGGGAAGGGCAGCCGGGCCGGTGCGAAGAGAACCGAGACGCCCTGGCCCCGAACGGGCGGCCCAGGGAAGGACCCGCAGCTGTGGGTCTGAGGGAAGATGGGGTGGGGTGGGGTGGAGGCGAAGGGGGCTGGAAACTGACCTCGAGCCCAGAGGCAGCTCTGTATGTTACAGTCAGTGGTGGTGGGTGCCGCGTAGGGGTCTCCACTGGGCACCTCGAGTCTGAGACCGTGGTTCTCTTCTCAGCCCATTGGGTGGATGGGAACACTGAGCCCCTGGGCAGCTGCGCTGACCCTAAAGCTGGTGCTCTTCCCAGGGCCCTCTTTAACGTCTGTGTTTTTCATGTGAGTGTTTTTTTTTTTTTAATACCACTGTGTGGGAGGCAGGGAGCCCATGCTGCCCGCCAGGTCCTGGTGCCCTCCTGGGACTGGGGGTGCGTGCCTCCCCAGGTTTTCTGTCCTCTGGGGGCGTCCAAGCACCACAGCGGAGGCAGGAAGTCAGGTTCGATTCCTTTGGGAATCCTGGTTCATCTCTCCTCTCAAGGGAGCCTGGGGCCGTGCAGGGAAACTTTCTGGGAGTTGGAGAGCCTGGGGTTACCCTCCAGGCCAGGAGCAGCAACACGCCCCCCCCCCAACCCCGCGGGCCCATTTTTGCAGACACAACCCTCAGGCCTCACACCAGTGCTCCTCGCGCCAGTTATGCTGACTAGGCAGCCTGGCCGATAGACGGTCCAAGAGCACCACCTGGTGGCCAGTCTCGGCAAGACAAGGCGGCTGCATCTGGCAGTTCTTGAAAAACCGTACCTCGGCAGAGGGCCCTGAGAGCACAGGCTGCAACCCCTCACCCGACCGGACGCGGGAGGGAGCCCTCCAGGTTCCCAGAGGTTAGGGTGCAAACACTGTAAAGCACAATGAAAAGCACGCGGGCTCTGGGGTCTGATGGGCCTTGGTTTCAATCCCTGCGTCCTTGGTTTTACCCTGAGCCCCTCACCTGTGCAGTGGGGATATTTAACACGGGCTGTGACCGTCTCTCTGCCTGACAGGCAGCCAAACGGGGTGGTGGGGGGTGAAGCTGGACCAGGGACAGGAGCCGGCCTGGTGGCCCTCGCCCTAGGTCAGTGACGCTGAACTGTGGCTGCACATCACAACCGCCTGACGCCAAGGCAGTGCTTCCCGAAGCCCGGGCCTCCTGGGCCAGGAGCATCGGCACCAACAGGGAACATGCCAGGAGCTCCGAGTCCGGGCTGCAGCCCAGATCTGCTGAGTCAGACACCCTAGGGGTGAGCCTAGCACCCCCAGGCCATGCCAGTACATGGCCAGGGGTGAGAACTCTGTGCTTTGGAAGAACCCGAGGCCATTCAAACGTCCTAAGAGGAAAAAAAAAGCGATTCTTTTGGTAGTGGACCTACAGCGGGACCCATGCACGGGTTAAAACAGCAACTTGGTAGCTGATTGTAATGAACAGTCAGTGCCCTGGGCTGGACGCTTTTCCCCACACACAGGGCTTCCTTTCCTTGGGGGGGGCTGGGCCCCGCAACAGAGAGCAGGTGCTGTCCCTGGGGTCCCCTGGACCCTCAGGTGCTCTGGAGATGGACCACCAGTTACTGACATTCGGGGAGTGTTTGAGCCCTGACAGGTGCCATCCGTCTTGCAGGCGGGGAAGGGGCGGTACAGGGAGGTGAAGTAACTGGCCCTGCCCCCGTGCAGCTACCAAATGGCAGAACCGCGGCTCCCAGCTAGTTAGTTCTCTGGGACTCCAGACTCTGCCGGCTCTGCTTCCGGTCTTTACACATAAGAGGAGGAACGACTCGTGGAAGGTTGCCAGGGGTTGTCCCCCACACCCCGACTCAAGGGCTCATTGTCCTTGAGTACAGTGACCCCACCCAGGCTGGGCCCTGTTCACTGTTCCCCCGGCTTGGAGAAAAGAAGGGCGGAGACAAGGAGAGGACGGATGCTGGCGTAGAGAAAATATAGAAGCGTTTTATTGCTACAGATGCACTTTCCAAAAGCAAGAGAGCTGCTGTCCTGGCGAGGCAAAGACCCTGGAGGAGCGGCCGCAGGGAGCCGAGCTGACACGGCCAGCCCACTGGGCAGCCCTCAGCGGCGCCGGAGTCTCCGGGACATCTGATAGAGCTCCATGGTGGCCCTGGCGTCTTCCACCGAGCTGTGTCCAGACAGGCTGTTCTGCAGACACCCAGAGAGAGGGGGGACTTGGGGGGGAGGAGCTGGAATGAAGAGCCCTCAGGTGACCGCCCTTCCCTGCTCACACCCTGACATCCAGAGCCCCATGGTGGGTCCGTGGCTGGGTCCCCCCAGGGCTCGAACAGCTGGGGCTGCAGCAGGTCCAGCTTCCCCCACTAGCTGCCAAGGCCCAGACATGGCTGGGCCCTCAAGGCCAGCGGGGACACTGCACACTTGCTGTCGGGCACAGAGGGGCTGGACTGTTCTGTGGGACCCTCCTGGGCACTGAGGAATATGTTAAAAAGACGCTGCTAGATTGCCACTTGCTCAGCAAGCCTTCCATGAGTTGATGTGTGGGCCTGTCTGTCCTTCATCCTGTGTCCCTCAAGACTAACAGAGGGGCCCAAACTCAGGCCCATGTCCTGCTTCCTACGTGATCTCGGCTCCCCAGCGGAGGAGGCTGGGGCTCGTCTGTCCCCTCCCCCGCCAGTCTCCTGCCCTCCTCCACCAACGGCCACGGTTCAGACTCCACCCAGGTCTGGTCTCCTGTCCGGCCACCCACCCATGTCCCTGCTCCCAGGACACCAGCCCTGCCCTCCACGGGACACTGTCCACAGTGTGTGCTCATTACCCGGTTAGGGGCCACCCTGCGTGACCCAAGGGCTCCTCACGGACCGGGCCTTGCTCACCTGGGGTCCCCAGCGCCTCATTCAAGGGCAGCCCAGAGTAGGTGCCTAATAAACACGTGTTGACCTCTACGAAGTGCGCAGCCCCGCGGGACTAGCGGGAGACAGGGCGTCTCTGGGGCCCAATATTTGCCCTGTTGCCACTGGTGGGGTTTGGATTCTGGGAGGGAAGGGCCAGGCTCCCAGAGCAGACCCTCCTCCTGACTGGCCACGCGAGGCTGACTCTTCGGGCCCCAGTGGGGAAGGGCGGGACCCTCACCTGGATGCTCCTCCCGAGGAGGCGCTCGCAGAGCACGCGGAGGGATACGCGCTTGTAGTGCAGCAAGCCGGCCTTGGCCCAGAGCACCATGTCCTCCGCGGTGTCGTAGATGCTGTAGTTGCTCGTGTTCTCTTTCAGAGCCTTGAAGTCGTGCTTCAGGTCGTGACCCACCACCAGCTTGCCTTTCAGGAGCTGCAGGATCTGGCCAGGAAGACACGTACCCTCAGGTCACCCAGGTCCTCCAGGCTGCCGTGAACAGGCGGGCAGCAGCCCCTCCTTGAGTCGCTGTGTGACCTTGAGCAAAGCACTGTCCCTCTCTGAGCTTTAAACGTACCATCTACAAAGTGAGAAAACCGGACCAAGTCCCTCTTCACACTTACTAGTTTAGATCTGTGCCGAAGGTCCATCCGATTCCTTTAGTGGTTTCAATGTGGAAGAGCAATGTATGAAATAATAAAAAAATAAGTAAAGTTGGTGTCTGTTGCCAGTTCCTGGCACAGGGCTCCTTAAAGCCTTGCCATTTCCTGGGCGACAGGTGTGTGTCTTTTGTTCTAGTGAGGTACCTGTGGGTGGGCTCCTGGGTGGGGCCGATCACCAGAAAGCCAAAACCATCATTGGAAGCTGGGGATTTGCCACCCCTCCTCTCATCCTCTCGAGGACTTCGGAACTGCAGAGCTGTAAGACGGTAAACGAGTGCAGTTTTGCACCACTAGGTTTACGGTTTTGTTACAGCAGCTGTGGAAAACTCATACAGCTCGCAATGAGGAAGGCCTGTCTTGAACTGAATTTTGCAAATGAAAGAATCCGGGTCACCGAGGAGTGAAGTCACTTGTGCAAGTTTACCCTGACGATTTCAAAAAGAACTGTGCAGATGTCTTGGTACGGTGCTCACAGTAGCTGGAGCCCAGCACCCCGCGCTGCCTCGCCTGCGGGCTGGCCCATGTGACTTCTCTACGGGCCAGGATCCCTGGGTCCCTGAGCTACCCCAAAGCCTAGCAAGACCACGTGCAGATAGAAAGACAAGCCCGAGGAGCCCCAGTGCCAGGCACCAGACAGGGGGGTGAGCAAAACTCCCAAGGAGTCCAGCCCGCGACCTGCAAGATGCCTCTGCTGAGCAGCAGCCGCCACCCCCACCTGCCAAGCCCTGCCCAGATTGCTGGTATTGAGTGAACTAAATCTCAACATTATTTGAGTCGCTAGGTTTTGGAGGGATTTGCTAAGCACCATCGGGTGAGTGAGACACACACTCACTCCCTTGTGGCAGAAGCAGTTTTCAAAGCCGCCACCATGTCTGTGGAAAGAGCCGGCCCCGGGCCTCCGCGGGCCTTGCGGCCAAGCTGCAAGGAGCAACCCTGAGAACACCCCCAGCCCAGTGCCCAGTGCCTGGACGTACGCCCAAGCCTCCCCCTTGCCTTCATTCTCGCCTCCTCTCCCACGGCGGGTGGCCCTACAGAGAGCCCGCCTCTGCCCACACAGGGCAGTCACTTTCGTTTTCCAAGGCTGCGGTTAGAGAGGAACGGGGACCGGAAATACAGCCGGGGCAGCTCGCGGCTCTCTCGGGCCCATGTGTGGAAGCTCTCGGACAGCGTGTATCCCTCCGGAAAGAACGTTCTGGGTGGCTAACACCTGCCTTGTCCTGTTTTTCTGCCGCTAGTGGCCTCCCGGACTCCATGTAGGGCCTTTGATATGCTCTTCCTTGGAGGCCAGAGGGAGAAAGCTGAGGCTCAGCGCATTGAGGTGACTTGTCCGTGGTCACCGCGCTGGGGATGGGGTCTGTCCATTCACCATCGACAGACCATGTCACCAGCCTTCCTCACTGCTCCTGCGGTTTTCTCGGGGCCTCCTCTGGACGGAGCCCGGCTGGGGCTTGCGAATCCCCCGGGGCATCTCCGTGAAACCCGCGTTTGGGCTCTGGATCCCGGATTTCTGACAGGCAGTGCTGGTGTGGGGTCCCCCCGAGTGGGGAGGGCACACGACCCCCAGAACCCGGTGTGCAGAGAGGGGGCGAGGGCCAGCTCACTGAGAGAGCACACAGGGCGCCCGTGGGTCACGCGCCGTCTCCTGCTGACATTCTTCAGGTTTGTACACAGTGCGACCTCTTTGCCCTGCTAGGAGCTGGCTCAGGCCCAGCTCGCACACGGCCCCGCAGGACCTGTCTGTCATTCTGGCGACAGTGGTCACAGTCCCAGATGTAAGAGGGCCAAGTGATCCCCAGTCACCGTGGGGTACATTTCTGGGAAATTCATCACTTCCCGAGCCTGGGGGTCCCCGGGGGTGGGGGTGCGGTCTGCATTTAGCAACACAGGACTTGACACAAACATAATGGGGGCGGGGTAGACATGCAGCGGAAGGAAGAGGAAGCCGGGGAAGGTGGAGAACCGTCTACACAGCCCAGAGATGCAACAGCCCTTCAGGATGCTGGGCAGACACAGGGAAGGACGCCAGGACTGGCCGTGTGGTCTCGGGGCTTCGATCCCCCGTGGGTAAGGTGAGGGCTGGGGAGGTGAGGCTTGTGGCCAGTTAGCGGCCTGGCTTCACCGCCTTCCTGAGCAGAGGCCTGGAGGGCGGTGGGGTACCTGCCGAAGCCCCCGGGAGGTGGGGAAGCGCCCGCCAGTGCGACCCCTGGCGGTGGGACCTTCCCTGGGCCAGTGCAATGAGGCAGGTGTCACTTTTCTCTGAAGAAACCTTACAGGCGAGGGGAGACGCACAAATTCCTGGAAAGAGCTGCAGAAGGGAGGGGGGAGGGACATTGTCTTTCTTCATCATCCTGGCACTGCGCCAGGTACTTTCCTCAACTCTTCATGAGGTCTCTCAACAAAAATATTCTTAGTGGCATTTCTCAGAGGACGGGGCCGGGGAGTCATAATAAATTATGTTTTATGGAACCTATCACACAACCGAAATGTTAGCGTTTCGATGTGTTGTTGCTATAAAAAACAACCGCGGTACTTTTATGATTAAAAAAATTTTTTTCTCCTCACCCGAGGACATTTTTTTCACTGCTCTTAGAGAGAGAGGATGGGACAGAGAGAAACACAGATGCGAGAGAGGAGCATCGGTTGGTTGCCTTCCCCACACCCCTGTATCCCTATAGAACCTGAAACCTAAATATAGGCCCTGACCGGGAATCGAACCCACGACCTTTGGTTACGGGATGACGCTCCAACCCACTGAGCCACACTGGCCAGGGCTTATGATTTTTTAAAAAGATCTATTAGTCTTTGAAATCCAAGGGCTGTTTTACAGCTACCGCACTTTGCAGTTCACACCAGGGCTTTCCAGAGGGCTCCCGGCCTCAACCCTGTCTGCACACGGCTCCGGAGTTTCGAGCCTGAATTTGGAAACCTCGCTGGCTCTTCCCCCTTCTGTTTTCTGAACTTGTACAAGTCATGGAGCGTTATGGGCGGGATGGTGCAAGCCCTTGCCTCCCCATATCCATCTGTCGAAATCCCTAGTTCCTCAAAATGTGATCTGTTTGGAATAAGGGTGGTTGCTGATGTCATTGGGGGGAGCCCCTAGTCCACAGGGCTGGTGTTTTTATAAAGAGGGGCAGTTTGGACACGGAGACACACGCGGGGGGATCCCCGCACGAATGGGAAGGCAGAGACCGGGGTGACGCATCTACAAGCCAGGGAGCATCCGAGAGCGGGGGGAGAGACCGAGAAACAGACCCTCCCCCACAGCCCTGAGAAGGAGCCGTCCCCGCTGACACCTTGATCTTGGACTTGGGGCCTCCAGAACCGAGAGACAGCACAGCTCTGCTGTTCAAGCCACCCCGTCTGTGGGTCTTTGTCACAGTGGCCCTAGCCGACCAACACACGCATGTAGCTCAGGCCAGCCTCGGGCTCCTCGCCTGGAACACAGGGTGACGGGGCAGACAGTCTGGGTAGCTCCCGAGAGTCCTTCTCTCCGGCCCTCTCTCCTGGCCCTTTCTCAAGCCTCACAAGGAGCCTATGAAATCACTGCGATCATCCCCGTTCCCTTCGACGGGTTTTGGGAACCCGGTACCGAGAGAGGGTTGAGTAACTTGCCCCAGGTACGTTAGCAGGTAAGGAGCGAGCCGGGGTGCACAGCTGAGTTAGTAGCTCCGGAGCCCCTCCTGGCCGCCTGTGGGTTGAGGCATGAAGGAGCTCGGAGCCCAAGGGCTGGGACGGCACCCGGCCGGGCTCAGTAAACAGGAGCTGCTCTTGCGGTTTCCTCTCGAGCACCTGGAGGCTCCCGTGCCAGCGCGTGTGAGAGGCACGCCTCTGTTCTCTTTGGTGTGCTTGGCCTGCCCCACCCCCGGCTGGCGTGGAAACCAATGAGGGTGCTTGCCTTTCTCAGCCTTCTCAGAAGTGACTAACCTGGGGGCCGTCTTCACAGAGGTTGCATTTGCTTTCTCTTTGGTGATGCAGGGAAATGGAAAGTTAAATCTGGAGAAGCTGTCACAATAAACCGGAGCGGGGGGTGTGCATCGCGGGACCTTAGGGTGATAGATGGCCCACCTTCCACGGGTCTGGGAGCTGGTGTTCCCCTCGGCCCAGAGGGCTCTGGCCGGTTCTCCAGAACCAGGAGGACCCCTGCCAGGGGCCCAGCCAGTGAGGGTCTCTGCCCAGCACCTGCTTCTCGCTTCCCCACAGGGCTCACCAGTGGCAGCCTGGTGTCCAGGAAAGAGCGGGGAATCCAGCTCCCAAATCAGAGTGGGGAATGTCAGGAGGACCAGAAGCCCTGAGGCTGCTGCCCGATGGGAGCTTGTCTGGTGGCAGGGACCCGCCCTTCTCAGGGATGCAGTGGAGGCACAAACCAGCTTCTCTGCACCCTAGAACTCCCCACCCAGGGGTGGCAGGGAATCGTATGCCACTGGGGACGCAGGTCACGGATCTGGTCCTTGGGGAAGGCACCAGGGAAGTACGTGTGTGTCCGGGGTGTGTCCACAGCCCTCCGTGGCCCGGCTGGCCCACTCCCCCTCACTCACCTCCCGCCTGGCCACGGCGAAGGGCGTGGCGTTTTCCATGTGCTGAGGTGTGATCCCGCTGACCCGGGTTCTGTAATCCGTGATCTCCCCCTCGGGCCGGATGAACTTGTCGTAGATTACCGAGCCGTGGAAGTCCACCAGGCTGCACCGAGCCAGGCCACTCTCCCGGAGGGGCCCCACCCCCACCATCTCGCAGTCCATGGCCACCGCCTCCATGCTGCTCGCCATGCCTTGCGGGGGGACACTCAGCTGCGCTGGAGAATAGGCAGCGGGAAGGGCATCACTCAAGGGCCTGCCACGGCCCCTGGGTTCCTCAGCCACCACCCTGCCAGCCTGCGCCCTCTGTCCCGGCCTTATCACACCACCCCCTGGCAGAAAGGAAACTGGCTTCTTGCCACCCTGCTGGCTTCAAAGTCTGGTCGTCCGTCCGAGGGCCTGTGGTCTTGCTTGGCAGCCTCAGGACCGGGAGACCGCCTGCCCTGGCCAGCCACCCCCGAACCCTGCCTCGCAGCCTCCACCCCGGCTCACACCCTCACCAGTCAGCCTCCTGTGCCCTGGTCTCACGCCTGTGTCTCTGGTGCTACTTAACCACTGCAGTTGCTCTTAGCAGTGACTCATCTCTGACTTCAAACCGAGGAAACCTGACCCCGCTTTAGTTTCGGGTTCGTTTTCAAGTGAGGTCAGAGGTGGCAGGCCAGCACGTGGGGTCCTCGCCCCACCCCCTGCCGGCAGACAGGGGAACTCCGGGGCCTGAGTCAGGACTGACTGAGGAGGGCAGGCTCCACGGCTGGCTGGCTGGCTCGCCTTCTTGCCCCTGTCCTCCACCTCATCGCTCAGATGACGCTGCCGACGTGGGTGGAGTGCATTGCGACATCTCTCTTTCCTTTTTCTCCACCCATAGAGTAAACATGCCCGGGACTGGAGCTCGGGGAAGGTCCCGCAGCTTCCAGGTCACTACCAACCTCACACTCCCAGAGGGGTTTTTTGTTTTTTAATGGGACAGGGGGAGCTGGCTCTCGGGACACTGAGGCTCTTAACTGAAAAGGGCAGAAGGTTGAGGTGAGCGGGGGCCAGCCCCCGACCCCAGCCCTGGGAGAACAAGGAGACAGGGACGCAGCCCTTCCAGGCTCTGTCGGTCCAGGGTGCCTCCCTCGCTGGGCCCTGCGTCCAGCTGGGTGGACACTGTTTGGGGACAAAGAGAAGCCGGCTTGGAGGGACCCCAAGCAGCCCAGCCTTCTTTCCTCTTGTTAGCTACCGCCCAAGCTGGAATGTTGGCCTCTTAGAACCGTGCAGGGGCACACGGGAGGAAGCGCTCCGTGTTTGCGTGATTGAGGTACGACTAGGGCAGAGACGAATGCCGCTCTGGCAGATCACGGTGGGTCTCAACGGTGAGCCGAGGCCCCTGTCTCCCCCCCCCCAGATCTGTGCAGATAAAAGCCCTGAGCCGTGGGACTTGTTGTGGCTTGGGAAGGAATCTCCCCAAGTCCGTGGTGTTTTCACCGAGAGACAGCTGACCTCCAGTATATAACCGGGGGCTGAACCGTGTCTGGGCCGTGAGGCGCGGTCTCTGTCTGTTGTGTAGTCAGGTCACACTCGAGGCATCAGAGGTTATTTAGGGTTCCCATCCTGAATGAGCGGATTCTACTCGTGTTCGGATTCTTTGGGGACTTTTTGGTTTTGGGCAGCATAGAGGACTGTTACCCTGACGTAGGGGAGATGAAGCAAAGTTCCTCTTACTTTACGTGCTTTGAGAAAGTGATCCCCTAAAGCTGCAGTTGGAGGTTTGGTTCCATCCCCACAGAAGCCCCCCCGGGGACCTGCACACGTCAGCCTCCAGCTAGGTCACCCCTCTGCCCCTCCACTCCCACCCCTTCTGAGCCTGCCCCTTGCTGGGCTCCAAATCTGCATCTCTAAGTCTCCCCTGCTTTTCTCCGCATGCTGCACCCACCCGGCCCTCACTGGCCCCAGGCGGCTCCCCAGTTTCTCACTCCCATCCCCATGTTCTTCAGGTCCTAAGATTACCTTTCCCCAAATCTAATCTTTGCACTGTTAGAAAAAACAAAAACAAACCTCTCTTCTTGTGTAATTTCCAAGACCCTCCTTCCCACCTGCCCCACAGGCCTTTCTACTCTCATCCTGGGCATTTATCCGACCCAAGGCCCCTGTTTTAAACTTGAACCTACATTGAAGGCCTTTCTGTGTTCCCGTGGTGACTCCTCCCTGCCCTTGTCCGAGTGATGGCGTCTTTCCGCGTAACTTCAGTTCGAGGAGTGCTGGGCCCCAGAGCGGGCAGGGTAGGGTCAGGTCTCCGCCTGGGGTCGGGGGTGGGAGAGAGTCAGGGTGCTGCAAAGGGCGGCCTCTCCCCCCCACTTTCCCTGGCCTCTCCTTTCACCCCCCGTCTGTCACCACACTGGCTTTTTCCCTGTCCCCCAGGGCCTGGGCGTTTGCTGTCCTGTCTGAAAAACTCTTCTGTCGGGTCATCTACCCAGTTTGCTCCCTCTGCCTCTGGCCTCCCACCGAGTTTTCTCGGCCTCTACTGAAACTGCACCTCTTACCCGCTTCCCAGGCTCCATCTGCATCGTCCGCAGGAATCAGCGCCATTCAGAAGAGCATGTATTTTGCTTGTTCGTTTAGTTTCCTCCCCTGCTCGCTTGGTTCGCCATGGGGCCCCCAGCACCAAGAGCCCCGCCCGGGCCATGTAGAGGTTTTGCAAATGTATTGTGCGTGCCCCCCGGGAATGGACGCGGGCACTGGTGATTCACGGGTCCAGGGAAGAAGCCCTACCCCAGTTCCCAGGTCTGATGGGTGTCATCCATGGCCACACCAAGGCCACAAGTCTGGTGGGGTGAGGTGACGGCTGGTGTGTCGCTCAGGGCAAACGGCTCTGCCTTTGCAGATATGAGCCCTTGCACAGCCGGCCTGCCTCCCCCGACAGCCGCAGACACGGGGGCTGCCACTGTGGCCTTCTCTCAACACCCAGCACCGAGTGCAGGGTGGGGCCGGACACTGCCAGCCTGGAGAATAGCAAGTGTTGGTGAGGACGAGAAGTCAGAACCTTTGGGTACCAGCTGGTGGGAATGTAAAAGGGCCCGGTGACTATGGAGAAACAGTTTCTCAAAACACCAAATGGAGTTCCCGTGATGCAGCACTTCCGGTGCTGGGTACACCGTAGTCCCCGTCATCCTGGGGGACACATCCTGGGGGACATGTTCCAAGACTCCAAGGGGATGTCTGAAACCAGGGCAGTTCCCCACCTTAATCACTTCTTCACCTCTGGCAGCTTTTTCATTGGCAGACACAGCTTCTCCAGCAGTTTTTGTGCTTTTCTGCGCACACCTGCCCCTGAATCTCTGTGACTGTCCCCTGATCTGCAGTGAAGGGCCCCACGTCCCTCATTTCAGCGGCGCCCGTGTCTCCTGCCCTCACATTTAGTGTCCTGTCCATCTCAACTGGCACTTGTCACTCGTCACGCGCTGTGGCCACTGCTTTTGCAGCTTGTGGTGCCACAGCAAAACGAGCACAATTTTTTTCCCTCCTTCAGTTTCATGGATGGAAAGTGTCGTTTTTACCCTAGATCTTGGCAACCTCGGGGTACTGTTTTATTCCCTTTCCTTATCAGGTTGAGAACTTTTACGGGTGAACACTTCATGGCGTGTCTTTGGTGCATCAGAATGGCCAGCATGGCCACTCTTGCACTTTGGGGTCATAAGTAAGGGTTACCTGACACAGTTGACCTAGTAACAGGATGCTGTGTGACGGATGGGAGGGCGTGTCCACAGGGCGGGGACCCTGGGCAACGGGAGGAGTTGGGTCCTGGGGGGAGGAGGGGGCTTCATCATACTGCTCAGCCTGGCCCACAACTCAAGTCATGAATAACTTCCAAAAGCGTCCTATTTTTAGACTGCAGTTGACTGAAAGGAAACCTTGAATAAGGGGGAACTCACCCCCAGATTTATTTGCACGTCTATGTTCCTGGCTGCGTCAGTCACGGTGACCTCCCAGAGGGGGAGGCCACCCCAGGGCCCATCCAGATGAGCGCCATCCAGGCTCACCCAGGAAGTTCGTTCCTGCACTGACTGCAGTGCGGACTTTATTTTTAAGATTTTATTTATTTTTAGGGGGGGGAGGGAGAGAGAGAGGGAGAGGAACATCAATGTGTATGTCTCTCATGTGCCCGCTACTGGGACCTGGCCCCCAACCCAGGCATGTGCCCTGACTGGGAATCAAAGGAGTGACCCTTTGGTTCGCAGGCCAGCTCTCAATCCACTGGGCCACACCAGCCAGGGCTGCAGTGGGGATTTGCTCAGAGGATGCTGTGCTAAGGGAGACGAGCCAGCCAGGGAAAAGGCGAACACTGTAGGAGTCGCCTTCTCCCAGACACCTAGTCAGTCACAGAAGCAGAAAGTAGGATGGTGGTTGCCAGGGGCTGGGGGGAGGAATGGGCAGTCCTTGCTTAAAGAGTATAGTTTGTTCTGCAAGATGAAAACAGTTCTGGAGACCACTGTGAATGTACTTAATGCTGCCGAACTCTACACTTAAAAATGGCTAAGATGATGGCCTCCCTCCCACTCCAGCTTCAAGGGTCACGGAAGAGGCCACTTCACCTGCTTTCCCAATAGTGTTTTATTCCAAGACACTTTCACAACAACGCCGATTTAGAACCCAGGCCGTTTCTGGAACGCTACGAACAGCCTCCTCCTTCTACCCACAGATAAAAAGGCAGAAGATGCTGCTGCCAGCCCCGTGTTGGCGTCCGCTGGACTTCCACGGAACCCAGACCCAAGCGCCAGAGCCAGGCCAGCAGTGGGCAGTGGCCCCGCCGGCTCCCTGCTCTGCAGTCGGGGGCACGGTGGGTGAATGAACCCCCGACGGCCCCAAGTCCACAGCAGCTGTGGCCCTGCTGCTTTGCCCTGACTCTGCCATGAGAATCCAGTCACCACCTGTACACAGCACGGGACACGGAGCACACACAGGCCGCACGCCGTGGAGAGCGGCGAGAACCCTGAACCTCCGTGCGGCGTCCTCACCACGGGCCTGCGCCTCACCTGCGGGGACAGCCACGCAAGCACAGGTCTGTCAGGGCCAAAGTCCCTCAACCTGGGGTTGACGCAGGTGTCACCCTGAAGAGGCTGGAATGGATCCTTCAAGAAAAACAGCAGCTCCCATGGACCGGGGCCTACTAGGTGCCGGGCACTGTGCCAGCATTTCATCCTCAAACCACCGTACGAGGTAGGTCTGTCCCCACTTTGTGGGCGAGGGCAGAAGCTCAAGAGTGAAGTCACACAGGTGCCTAAGGCCTCAGGGCTATTACGTGACAAGGACAAGCGAATACGGGGCTTAAAGGCCTGCATGACCTGAGCGTTTGGTTACCCTAGTACCCCCAATCTGCCCTGGAAAAAGCGGGGTAGGGGTGGATTCCTGATAGATAACTTAAGAAATCTGGAGAAAACCCAGCATCAATCGACGTGTCTGGCTACCGAGGGCGGGCACGCCACACAGCTGCTGGCGCCCCAGTGGACTCTGCTCCCTGGTGGCCTTGCTCTCAATAAATATGTAAGGTCCCTTGGGTGCAACTGCCCAGGTGTTCCAGATCTCAAACCATTTCCTGGTTTCTCAGGTTTTTGCTCGAGAGCCTAGTGTTGAGTGGGCAGGGGAAATGCCTGATCTGGTTCAAAATAAACACGCCGATCCCCACCGGAAGCTTGTCCGCCCTCCCTGCTCCTGGTGCCAAGCGTGTGAGGGGCGGTGCCCCAGGAGCCTGCAGGCCCCGAGGGCCCATCTGAGCCCGCCACCAGCTCCTCTGGCGCTGTAGCCAGAGCTCCATCAGAGAGAAGGGGAACACGTCTCCGGAGTCACCTCAGCTCAAAAGCTTCTGGGGTGCTTACTCTGAGCCTGACAGTGACTCTGAAGGTCGAGGGAGGGAGACACAGGAAGAGGCTGACTCTCACCCCTCCCAGGGGGCTGGGCCCTGGCAGCCGGTCCACCTGGCAGGTTCACGGTGTCTGTAGAGTGCCACAAGCAAGTCCACGGGGCAGGGGGGCCGAGAACAGACGATCCCAACTCCTCGGACCTGGGGGAGCTGGCTGCATCCGCCTCGCCCAGGTGAGCACCCAGTGCTCTCCTGGCCCCGCTCCCCACAAGCCCCTCCTCCCTCACACCCTTCTTCCCTGTGTCTCCCTCTCGCCCCTGCCGGAGCCAGGGCCCAGGTCCTCGGGCCAGTACTGGTCCTCCATGTACTGCTCCATGTCCGTGCTGCTGTCAGGCTCTCTGTCCTCGGGGTGGGCGCGGTGGCGGCCAGCCTCCTGCTGCTCCCACTGCGCCTCCACCAGCCGGTACAGCTCCATGGCCGTCATGGCATCTTCCACCGACGAGTGCCCGTGCCGGCCCACCTACGGACAGGAGCCCTGGTCACTGCCAAGCCCCAGGGAGAGGCCCGTCACACCAGGCTCTGTGTACAGGCCCAAGACCATGCACTGTCTGAGCAGGGGTGTCCGGCTTGGGACAGTGAGGAGGGCATGGGCCTTGCAGACAGAAAAGCGCTGGAAGCTCAGCCATCGCACAAGCCACCCAGCTTCTCTAGCCCATTTCCTCCAGTATAAAGCAAGATGAAAATCACTGCCTCCGAGGGCTCGAAGAGCAGAGGGAGTCATGAAGGTGAAGGACAGCAGGGGCAGGAGTTACAAGCGGCCCCGACGGAAGAAGAATCCATACAGATTACAAATGCAGGCGGAGAGCCTGGCCCTGGGCGAGGACAGACCTGGGAGAGGTCGGCCGGGAACGGTGTGCACGCCAGGGAGGAGGAGCCTGCAGAGAAACGCCCAGGCTGCCGTGCACGCAAGAGACCCGGGAGTGGATGGGCTGCAGGGAGGACGAGGAGCTGGAGGCCAGGCCCTCAAGCTCCCCACCACGCACCTGGATCTTCTTGTGCAGCAGCTGCAGGGCCAGGTCCTTGAGAGAGACCCGGGTCCGGGTGTGCAGGCCGGGCTGGCTGAGGAGGCTGGGGACGCAGGTGGTGTCCCGGGTCTGGCTCCGAGGGTGGACGTACTTAAGGGCCCTGAAATCGTTGTGCAGGGCGTGCCCCACCACCACCTTGCCCTTCAGGAGCTTGAGGATCTGTGAGCAGAGAAAGGAGGCCAGAAGGCCCTGCCGTCAGGCAGGCCCGAGACCAGTGGGTACATAGGTCCCTCTGCATGGAGGCAGCATGGAGAGGGGAGACAGGGAGCTCCCATCAACTGCGCTGCCCGCGTCTGAGTCCAGACCCTTCTACGTACTACCTGAAACCACCAGGGGTGCACAGCAGCCCTCCAGACCTGCAAACGGGAATGCCAACACCATCCTGTGGGTGGTTGCTGGCATTAAAGCTGGCCGTGGGCAGGAGAGAGCTCCCAGTAACTCAGTGTGTGCTCCTCTTTTCTGCTCACAGGCCCGTCTGTCAGTCTGAAGACCTCCCCAGCCCTCCCACCCTGCTGACTCCCTGTTCTGACTCCTCCCCTAACTCCGGTCAGGTGCAGCTCAGCTCATTTGTCAGGAGGCCACCCAGCAACCCCCTGTTGACATTAGGACTCCTGCTCTGTCCTGCCGGGGGTTTACTGCCCTAAGTACACATGCAGCTCTGGCTGGTCAACAGCCCTCGTGCCTACTGTGAGCTCACTGTAAACACGCAGGGACCATGTCTGACTTGACTGGTGATGCACAGGAGGGGCCACTGGGCAAAGTGCACAGAGCCATGCCTGGCACCGGACACAGACCTCTCCCGGCACACCGTGCACAGTCCCTGTCACCAGGATCCTGTCCCCCCGCCCCTCCACATGCAGGACCCTGCTGCCTCATGCAGCGCTGGCTGTCTGCCCAAGGTGCACGTCTTTTCCCTGCCCCCGCCCTCCTCAGGCTCCAGAGGGTTCCCAGGCCTCCAATCCCTCCGGCCCTCTTTGCTGGCTTGGCTCCCGTTATCGCCAGCTGCGGGCCTGGCACAGCCTGCCTCTGCCGCTCAAGTCAGCTTTCACAGCAGGGGGATGGGGCGCACTCAGTCTCCAGGGACAAGGACATGCCACCGCTCTGGTCACACTCCTGGCCACACCACTCTAGTCATGTGAAAAAGGGGGATACAAGAGGCTATATACGAGTATTTACTAAATCTGCCTAGACCCAAGAGAAACCCAGAAACATTGGTACGTTCTGCCGTAATGCTGTTTCCCAACGCAAGTGTTCCAACATGATCGATGTGTTAGACAGGATCTGAGAATAACTCGCGATTGCACAAAACATACACCCCTCAACTACCTCCTAGGGAGCTCCGTCCGCCTGTGTGAGTGGCCACAGCCACCCTCACCTACTGCCCCACTTTCCATCTGATTGCAGGTAACTTCTTGGACCAGTTCACTGTAACAAGCTGCAACCCTTCCGACATCTACCTCCATGAGGAAAATGTCGGGTCTTTTCCAGGCAAAGTGCCATCCTTACGGCTGCACTTATACATCGCTTAACCACTTAACAAGTGCAAAGCTGTGGGACCGTTGTTATTAGGTGGCCATGATTTTATTTTGGGGGTGTCATTACAACGCTCCTTGAGGGTTGTGTTGCTAACCCACTTTCCCCACGAGCTCTGAGGTTCTCACTGTGCCAGTTTGCACGGCGTGATGGTTCCTAGGCGCGTGCATGCCAGGGCCTCCGGAGGCCCAGGGACCTAAGGCATCAGACCGCGGAGGGGCCTGGAGACAAGGCTCAGATTAATAAGGCCTGAGGTGTTCCTTATGCTCAGGCACGTTTGGGGATTTCTCAACCACTAATTAAGTTTTCTCAAAGCCCTGAAAACCTAACATAGGGAAATATACCAAAATATTAACACCTTCAGGTGGGCCTTACAAATTTTGTACAGAGACGTTATACTTTCATAACAGAAAAAGAAATGCAGAACGTATGTCGTTTCACACCTGGCTGTTGGGACGGCCTTCCCACAAACGTGACCCAGTATGACACCCCAGCTATCCCTATATGCGGGTGGGTTGGGGTGCTACTCCTCCTTTCTATGGAGAAGGGACCCACTGTTTGGAGAAGTCAAGTAACTGTCCCAGGGTCCCTCACTTCCAGTGGTGACTCAAACCCAGGGCTGCTCCTCACACCCTGTCACACCAATCCACACAGGGTAGGGGTCCCCATCTGCCCTCACCTCTCTCTGGGCCACCTGGAAGGGGATGGCCGTGCGCATGTGCTGCCGAGTGATGCCGCTCCAGCGGGTGCGATAGTCCACGATGGGCATCTCCGGCCGGATGTACTTGTCGTAGAGGACGTCACCATGGTAACTCACCACGGAGCAGCGGGCCAGCTCACTCACCCGCCCTCGGGGTCCTGTGCCCACCATCTCGCAGTCGATAGCCACGTACTTGCTGGGCGAGGGCCCAGCACATTCCCCGGGGGTGGGCTTTCTGCTGCATGGGGCACCTCCAGATTCATCCCTTGGATGCTGCCTCCCACGGCTGGCGGCCTCAGTGCCTGGTGGTGCCTCCGATGGCACAGGAGCGGGGGAGGATGCTGGCTCTGGGGGCGCCCTCTGCAGCCCCTGCTGCTGCAGCAAGGCCTTCCGGGCCATGAACCGCTGGTGCTGTCGGCTCTTTCGCTTGTGCTTCCTCCGAAGCACATCCTTGGCACTCGGGCTTGTCAGCAAAGGGCACAGGCACTGGGCAGACTCAGGGGCTTCCCCAGGTACCATCCCAATCTGCTCACTACTCGGGGACAGGGAGGCCTGGGAGGTAATCTTCTGATGGGGCAGCACTCTGGAGAGAGAGAACACAGGGCGGAGGGGCTGGATGAGGTTGGCCAAGGCCTGCCCTCCCCTGCTCACCTCCTGCAGTGAGTGCTCCCCTGCCCCGCTGCCCTAGAGCCTGCACTGTCTTTCAGGCTCCTGGACTGAGTCCAGGACCTGCTTTAATAATTGCCCTCATGCAGTCAACACCGCAAGCAGACTGCTTGCTGCTCTGAGTACTTTCCACGGAGTCACTCAATCTCCCCAACAACCCAAACAAAGTATTATTATCCTCATGTTACAGGTAAGAGAAACTGGAGCATGGAGGTTTGGTACTTGCTCAGTTAACAAGAGACAAAAGCCAGGCTGTGGGGCTCACCGAGCTGGAGATGACTGTGAACTCAGGGAACTGCCGGTTTGGTGGAGAGAGAGAGAGAGAGAGGCAGTCGGAAACTACTCAGAATGGGAGTGCGCTGGGCTACAGACGGGCATCGGACTCACTGGAACAGGCAGAAATGCCTGGTTAGGGAAGGCCTGGCAGGCGAGGGGACACTCGGACAGGTTTCAGGAAGGTCTGCCAAGGGCCCAGGGAGGGAAGGGCATTCAGACAGAGAAAACACTGACACAGAGTCCAGGAGGCAAAACACGTCTCTGTGGGAGGGGAAGGAGTTTGGGTGAGGACACGGGTGGGCAGTGAGTGAGAGCCGTTCCCGGAGGGTGGTCCAAGTCTGGGCTTCATCCCCAAATTTGCTGGGACCATTCCTCTCCCTAGACTGTTAGGGACGGGGGACAGGATCCCTGCCTCACAGCAGATACGACTCTGAGCAACAGCAGAAGTGAAGAGCGATGGGAGGAAGAGGGCAGGTCAAGAACCCTTTGGGATGCCTGGGCCAGGGCACGGCAGCGACCCATCCTGACTCATCCTCCCTGAGAAGCCTCCTCCTGTTCACAAGGACTCATCACTACAAGTCCAGACAAGTCACATGGTGGAGCCGATGCAGAGCCTCACTCAGCTGGCCTCTGCCCAGCCACAGGGACAAAGAGGCCTAAGAAGCCTGAGACAGAGGCTGCTGGTGACAGAGGAGGAGGAGGAGAGGGCTGAGGGCCCTGCAGGCCAGCCTGAGGCAGGGACTAGGGCCACTGGCTGCCCTGACCCTGCCTGACAGTGTTTCAGAGAAACCAGGAACAGGTTCCCTGAGAAAAGACCTCAGCGGCTATGTTTCAAGAGGTGCCAGCAGCCATGGTTGGGTGGCTCAGCTGGTTGGAACGCCACGTGGTAACCAGAAAGTTGTGGGGTGGGTGCCCAGTGTGGGCACCTATGGGAGGCAACCGGTCGATGCTTCTCTTTTGCAACCATATTTCTCTTCCTCTCTTCTAAAAGCAATGAAAAAAATGCCCTCGGATGAGGACTTAAAAAAAAAAAAGAGGTGAATGCAGCCCTGGTCCACCTGCCTGATCTGGCTGGCGTGTCAATACCCAGTTAAATGATCGTGAATGTGCCCCCCTGGCCTGGGCCCCCAGATGAGCTCAGAGAGGCTGGGGAAGAGGTTTTGCTCAAATAACACATCTGTTACAATAAAGGCAGTCACAGATCTCTTTCCAGCCCCCTTGGACCCTGGGCTTTGAGGACCTGCAGCCAGCAGAGTCCTCAGAGCAGTGTCCCCACAAAGTCTGAACTGCCAGTGGCATCAGGGCCTCCCACCTGCTGGCTGATCAGGCAGGCAGTGGGCTTTGTGACTAAAGAGGGACTTGCTCCACACGTGGTCACCGTCCCCTCCCCATAAAAGGAGGGTTCGTTTATTAATTCGAGAGACGAACTAGGTTAGGGACGTGCCCCAAGCAGTTACTTGCCAGAAACCATTAAGATGTCTGTTGAAGGCGCTTGAACGGATTAAAACGGTTTCCAGAGGTACCCCCGCACCTTCTTAACCGTCATTTTGGGGGAGGGGAGGGGGGAAACAGAACGTATTTTAAAGAGCGCGGGACCCCCACCCCCAAGCCAAGATACTAATCATCTCCCGAATTTGAGAAAAACTGGTTGGATAAGATCCCCTGTGTTACTAAAAAGTTTGCGGGGCAAGGGAATCCGAGGACAGCCCCGTATGACCTCCAACAGCCTGCGTCCTCCTAGGAGTGATGCGTGGGAGGCCTGACCGCACCCAGGGAAGGACCCGGGTGTTGCTCAATCACTGGCCGCGGCGGTCTGGCCCCCGCCAGGCCGAGTCCCCATCGCCCATCGCTGTCCCCTTAGGCCCGAGACCCACGATCAGGGCGGGGGCGCGGGACAAGAGGCTCCCCGGGCCGGGCCTACACACCCGCGGGCTCGGAGAACCGATCGGCCAGGTCCCGGCGTCCCCCACCGCAGGCCGGAGATGGATACACGTACGGAACCCCGCGAGCAGGGACAAGCCGCGCCAGCCCCCTCCACCCCGCTGTCCCCAGAAGGGTCCCAGCGATCACCTGAAGCCCGGACGTTTCTCCCACCGGCACGTGGCATCCAGGCAGCCGGTAGTTCCCACTTGCCCGGGCAAGCCCCGTTCCGGCCGTCCGCCTATTGGCTCGCTGAGAGGCGGCACCTGCCTAAGACCCCTTCTGATTGGCTTTCTGGGAGGACCTGGCTTTCTGCGGATTGGCGCGTGTCAGCAGAAGGGGCGGGATGCTTAAGGGGGCGTGGCTTGTCCCTCTGGCCAGCGCAGCCCGCGGGAAATTTTAAACAATCCGGAGCAGAGTGTGGCCTCCTCTCGCCCGGATTCCGCTGGCATCTGTGTCCCCCGCCTCCAGTGCATCCCGCTCCCTGGGTCGGGACGTGGGCTTCTATGAGCTTCGTGCCACCAAAGGTAGAATGACTTACACAGATCACACCTCTACCTCCTCGATTGTCGTGGGCATTCAGTGAAATGCGGGATGGGCACGTAAGAAAAATGTTTAAAGTCAGGTTTGCTCCTTTGAAGTTTTGTTTTGGTTTGGTTTTATCCTTTTGTAATACTGTGCTCATACGTAGTAAGTTCCTACTGTGGGCTGAACACTGGGATACACAGAATAGGCACGGTCTCTGGCTGGTTTCTCAGATCTGGAGCGCCAACAGAATGGTTAAGAGATAATCGGGTGCAACCCGAATAACAATGAGAATAACGAACAGTTCACATTTATTGTGAGCACTGTGTGCCAGGCAATAGATGAGCTATGTACTCTTAGTATTTATGGTTTACAGCTAAGGAAACTGACACTTAAATAAATTAAGGAGAAATAGCTAGGGTCCAAACAAAGACCTAAGGAAGCAGCCGACTTCTAGCTGTACTTTGCAAGCAGAAATGACATTGCAAAGGTACCAGGAGGCCTGAGGGACATGTGTCAAAGAACCTGGTATTTCTGACCAGAGTATAGGTGTGAGGGAAGCGGGACAAAGGATAAGGCCATTAGAGAGGTAAATCTTTCCTCTCAGACTCCGAAGGCCTTGCTGGATCAGGTGTAGGCCTGAAGGGGGGTGTCGATCTGGCCATCTTTTTAAGGCAGTGGTTTTCTAAGAGTGGCCCCAGACCAGCAGCCTAGGCATCACCTAGGAATCGGTTGCACCTACTGACTCAGAAATTCGGAGGTGGAAGTGGGGGTGGGGTGGGTGCGGGGGACAACAATCTGTTTGACCGAACTGATTGACAGATCCTAATGCATACTGAAATTTAAGAATCCTTGTGGAGAGGGATGAAGCTGACAACTCTGGGAGCCAGAGGCAATTAATTCACTCATGTTATTCAAACAGATTATTCCCTCTCTATTCACACTTTCGATGCAAACTAACTTTGGACCTACCTGGATACAGCCTGTCTGTCCCCAAGACACCTATGGTACCTTTAGACTTTCCCTCGACTTCTGAGCATTTCCAGGGCTCTTAGACCCGGGCTAAGTCTCACAGGACATGGCTGATATTTTTAATGGAAAAAAATTGGAAGGATTTGATCCAGGGGAATTTTCTTTCCCACCCATACTTGTTCTATTGTAGACTAGTATTTGACACATAAAATTAAGCCTTAAATCTGTGGCACAGTCTCGGCTGAACATCGGAATCGCCCGAGGAGCTTTAAATACTGACGCTTGAGTTACATCCGATGATTCTGATGTAACTGGTCTGGGGCGGGGCCTGAATATGGTAATTGTGAAACCTCAGTAAGTGGTTCAGTTTGCCGCCACGGTCAGAAATCGCCGCTAAACAGCAATTACCTAGAAATCCCACCAGAGGGCGCTGCTTCCTTGCTTTTCCAGGGAAGCAGGTGCCAGGGCGTGCTGGCTGTGTAAAGCGGGTCCAGGAAGTTAATGTTAGGTGACCCAGATGGCCTGGCCTCTGGCTTACCAACCCTGTTGTGTTCTCAGACTGTCTATTTTGCTGAGTGTCATAGGGATAAACAACACAGCCTCTCTAAGCCTTGATTTCTGCATTTATTACATTGGGGAAAGAGGGGGACTTAGCCCATATTCATTCTTTTTCTCCAATATACATTGAGTCTCATGAAATGAACAGGATGCTGACTTGGGGAGGGAAAGGATAACCTCTCAAATAGGATAAAACCCCTCCATTATAGGGGGGACCAATAGAGAGATGGTGGTTTTCATTCATTACTGCTTCCTGGAAGGGATCGTGGGCTTGTGGCTTGGGTCAGGGGAGAGGAAAACTGTAATTCCACTGTGAGGAATCTGAGGTTCAGAGATGTGAAGTGACTGGCTGGAAGCCGCACAGCTAATCAGAGGCAGAGCCTGAAATGGAACTGGGGTGCGTCTGACTTCACAGCCAGGGCTCCCTCTCCCCGACCATGGCCCCCTCAGGAAGTAGGTGCCCAGCTGCTTGCCCCCTATCAGGAGGGGCTCTCTCATCCAGCTCCCCAATCAGGAGTGCACCCCAACTCCCTTCCCGAATGTTTCACCGAGGCAGGACCTCTCCCCCTTTTGTCTCCGCAGCAGCACGGGGTGCTGAGGGCAGTGTGGGACTTTCCTTTTCTCTCCTTTTCCTCTCCAGGACCGTCTTCTCCAGGGAAGGGCAGACACCCACTGAGTCACACCATTTTGCAGCCTTCCCAAGTGTGAATGAGATTTCTGATAGGACCAGCCCCCTGCTGGCTTCAGGCAGGGTTAGGAAATTTAAGAGGCAGGAAACAGGGAAGGGAGCCAGTGTGAAAGAGCCGTCGGAGCCGCTGTGGCGGTAATGTAATGATAGCAGCAGCCTCTAGGTGAAAGCAAAGGGTGGATTTGATTCAGAGAGGTTAAGTGCCCAGTGAAAAGTCACACAGCTAGAAAGTGGTAGAGGTGACTGAGCTCAGCTAATGATTGAATTTTTTTAGGTTTCCTGAAGGAATACAACTCCCAACACAGTTTAGGTTTATAAGATGCATTTTTGTTGTTTTTTCGCATCTTTTAACATATTTATTTTGTTGATTGATTGATCGATGCTTTAGTGTTCTGAAAGAAAGACTGTCCCATCATCCCAGCCTTCTCTGCCTCTGGATGCTGCCGACCAACGCTTCCCTTCTTTGACCTGAGGGCCCTAGGGGTGCCTTGTGCCCGCTGAGTGATGGGCTGAGGGGAAAATTCACCTGGAAAGGAGTAAAGAGGGCATTTGAGTTTGTTATGTGAAAAATTTATCCCTATTGAAGGTCTCATTATTGGGACTTGGCGACCACCTTGGGGCAAGGTGACCCCGACCTGGAGGTGCAGAGAAAGGCCGGGAAGTGGTGTTTATGACCCCCACTCCCACGACAGTGGGCAGCATAGTTAGAGGCCTAGGGATCCCCACCTGCTTTTTTCCTGGGTGACACCTCGGGGGCCCTGCAGCACTGAGGCAGATTCTGGAACCAAAGTGCCCCGTCCATGTCCATAAATTCACGGTCAGCCGTGGGCGGGGGGGAGGTGCCAGATGAGCTCCCGGTCAGGTGTGTCCACTACGTTCCTGCCAAGGCACCCAGCATTGTTGACATGGCAGTCAAGGGCCCTTTGTGCCCACTCACACTGTGGCTCTCTCCTGCCAAATACAACCAGACCCCCAGACCCTGAGTGCAGGGCCAAAGGGGACCTTGTACTGTGGGTGCCCGACCCAACATGGTTGTTCGGAAATTAGAGAGTAACTGAGGGGAAATCTCTCCTTGTCCTTCAGCTGGTGGTGTGGGAGCAGCCCCCCCCTGCTCCTGAGGACAGAGACCCTGCCTCACCCCTCACCCCACCCCACCCAAGGCTATCCAAGGCTCTCCACTCACACCACTGTCAGTCCTTGTTTTGGAAGACTCCACCTGGGGTGTGCTGCCCAGGGGCGTCCAGGGTGGTTTTCAGAGGTGTTTTCTAGGAGACAGAGAAGGACCCAAAAAGAACACAGGGAGGGAGAACCAGCGAGGCTGTGTGGCCCGCCCCGACCCTGTTGCTAGGGCCCGCACCGTGCGGCAGACTGGGACTTGTTGCTGAAGCTGGGAGACAACAACAAAATCACTAGTCTTCCAGATGGGGCGGGCCACCTGTGTCCGCAACCCCATCCCCATCCCCAATCCACTGCTGTCTAGCAGCCTCGGAGGACCTGGGGCGTCAGTCAGCCAGCCCTCCCCCACCTCAGAATTCCCTCCAGCCTCTCCTCAGAACTGGGCGGGGGCAGCTGTGATTTCTTTTCTCCAGAGTTTGACATACTTCCTTTGATAAGGAAATCTTATTTTTGGAGGGAGGCAGGTGGGTGGCTCATTGTCTACCTGTCTTCATTAATCACAAAGAGCCTAGTATCCTGCAGAAGGGAACAAAGAGAGAGCTCCAGGTAATGGTGACCACTCTCTACCTAGTCCCCCACCCTCCCCACCTGCAAGTTGAGGTCCAGTGTGCACACCCTCCAAGGGTTTATGGAGCTACAGCTCTGAATGGAGGGGGTCGGGGTGCTGGGCCAGAGGAAGAACAAGGAGAGGAAAAGGGGAAATGGGCAGGGGGCGGGGGTGGAATCCTCTCCCAGTGCCCCCAGGCTCCACACGGGGCTCCCTGGTTAATTTCCCCAGGCCGGGGCACCAATGGAGGAGAGGCCAGACCCCTGGCCCCGGGCCGGCCTCTAATTGTGCTGCCAGGGCACATCCGCTTAATTAGCAAAAGCCACAGTATCCCGATGGCTGAGAGAGCAAGGCCCTAATTGTGTTTCTGCAGCAGCTGAAAGGTAATTACCCTCCCCTATTGGTGCTGCTTCCCATTTTTTTCTCTAATGGAAAACTCTCCCTTCATGGCCCAGCCCTCCACCCTCTGTTGGGTCTCTCCGTCCAGAGTGGGGAAGGGCCTGCCTAGAGTCTTCGAAGGGGTCAGGGAGACAGCACCAGCCCCTTTTCAGCTGTCAGCCCTAGACCGGTGGGCCCAGAAAGCCAGGAAATTCTCGGGAAGAGGAAGGAGAGAAGCATTCTCTCTATACGCCCAGGTGGGGTGCTTGCTCTTCAACTGCAAGCCGCAGGGAGCTGAGGACCTCCACCTCACCCCAGCTAACCAAAGGAGAAAGCGGGGAGCTTACTGTCTTTTACTTCTTTGAAAATACCAATAAGA